GATTATTATTATTATTATTATTAGAGGGGGTGGGTTTCCCCATGCACCGCGACTAATAGTCTATTGTACGTCCCCCTTTGATATTCTACCAGTCCCTCCCGGAGGATTTGTTCCCTGAATTTTTCCGCCCTTAAAAATTCCACGACCTCCGCCGGGTTTGAACCTGCGTACCTTGAGTCATGAGGTGGGAACGTTACCCCTAGACTACGGAGGCCGCTTGATACAAGGATAGTTTTAACCCTTTTTATCGAGTCCTTTTGCCCCCGGAAAGAAGCTTTTGCAATAAGACAAGAAAGACGCAGTCTGTACCTCAATGAACAGAGCTTGCACGCTCGACCCTTGCACCTTGATATCCTGAATTCGTATTCGAGTGTCAATATTTTTACTGGGCCGTAATTTAGGAAATTAACTTCCGGTTTCTTACCGTGCCGTTCCAAGTTCAATCCCAAGTCAATTCATATAGATCATGTGGTATTAGGGCAGGTTTTTTTCAAGTTCTTCGGAGTCTCCTCCCACTTCTCATCTCACCAGAAATTGCATGTATCTCGTGTAACATCCGAGGCTGGTACAGTAAGTCATCTACGGCCTAAGCATCAATGGACTGAGCCTGTCTTTACTCCAGGAATAGAAATCAATCAACAGATTCTACAGAAAACACCTGTCTGTATCAATTCTTCTATTGTTGTGTGGCTTCACCGCACACGCGTATGCTGCGCGCTCTCCATAGCAACGGTTGTAAGCGTCACGTATCGTGACACCTCTGTTGTTGCGTGTGGGCATCACCTAGCAATGACTGATGTTTACAGAGTCACCTTCCAGCAACGGGTCTATACTCCACAACACCTAAGATTTTTTAAGATTAGGAGGTAATTTGAAGTAACAAATACAGCACACTATGCAGGTTGTTTCAGAAAATAGTGCACAATAAGGTGAATGGTACTTGTAAATCTGACCTCAGTACAGGGTTGAGGTACTGACGATTGAAACTGGACATTTCACCCCTTGAAGCAAGAATTTCATCTAGGTAATATTTATAAATGCACCTGTTGTCTCTCAGAAAACACGCTGCATCTCCGTTAAAATGACCAAAGGCTTAGTGTTGTGTCGAGAAATAATCGCTGTTTATTCTAAGCATTTATGAAACCTATACATATATACCACATAGGCATAATATAGCGTTCTTTAATGTTACAGTAGATGGTAATCATTCATTCATTATTGGAGGGGGTGGGTTTCCCCATGCACCGCGACCGGTTGTTGATCTATTGTACGTCCCCCTTTGATATTCTACCAGTCGCCATACTCTTCCTGTACTGGTGCTCGCTATCAGCCCCGTTCAGCCAGCGCGTTCGGCCCCTCTACTGGCAGTGGTAACCGATACTTCCCATCTACCGGAGGCATTGGAAACTACTTGGGCGGGAAACTTTTTACCTAATTTTGCTCAGAGGTCTCCTAGAGACAGGAGGCTCTTTTATGTGCCGTAAATCTACAGCACGGGACCCACGGCTTAAAGTCCCTCCAGGAGGACTTGTTCCCTGAATTTTTCCACGATCTCCGCCGGGTTTGAACCCGCGTACCTTGAGTCATGAGGTGGGAACAGATGGTTATCGTAGTAACCACTTTGTATTAAATGACTGTTTTTACACTGCATATGTTTTACAGCGTCAAATGAAATGATAGAGTGATAATGTGTTAAGAGTAACAGAGATTTTTAAGGGGGGTTTTCGTGGCCCGTGTATTATCTCTGTACACTCATGAGAGTCCGGTGAAGTCCACCAGAAATCTTAAGGTTTACCACTGTCCCGTCAGATATCCCTACTGAGTGCCTCACAAATGTACTTGTAGGTCAGTAACTTTACCGCTCCGTGAGGAATTGCTATCGGGTACCTGTTGAATACGAGAAACGTATCTCTTAAGCTAACCTACTGGGTTACATGGGACCATGAACAGGAATGCCACAATTTAAATCTTTACAGCTATGAAATCCTCGAATTGATTTTGTGTCACCTTATGAATTTCGCTTTAAATGCGTTTATTTTATGTTTTAGGGTCTGGAATTTTCGTGTCCCCGTCGGGCCTCTTGATTCGAACGGGTTCCATCGGGTTAAGCTTCATAATATGGGTGGCGTGTGGTTTGCTGTCATTATTAGGTGAGTACAACATCAGTTTTTTTTTAATTCCAATACGACATATTGTAACATACAGTCTACACAACAGTTTAATTTTTTTTTGCAAATTCACTAAGGCGACGCGTTTACGAGTATCAGCGATGTCCAGTGTCTTTTGGATCTTAGATTTTAGGCACTGCCACTTGCGTCCTTTGTAATGTGTCCTGATATTAATCTGTTTATTTTAATGGTCGAATTATTTTATGTTTGTTTAATTTGCCAAGAAGCAGGATAAACCAAACGAGTACACATTATACGGGATTATTCTAAATTATTGTCGGAGTTCACATGGCCTATAATTTTCTAACCGGAAACAGCAAAATAAACGTGGAAAATTGGAGTGTAACTCGAATATTAAGATATCAATGCGGCGAGTACAGCTTTGCCAAATAAAACTTTCTGAGTTATACTTTCATCTTCCGTAACAATTTTGTTTGTTTTTTCTGGTTTGAAAATTAAAGGCAATTGAAACTCCGACAATAATTTAGAATCACGCTGTAGAGTTTATGAAGCCCATAGACCGGTGTGATTTAGCAAGAGTCTAGACGATCTACTGTTTACAGCGCCATCGAAAGGAAATATGTGGAAGATGATTTCCAAATATGAAATAAGCACGGTAGGAAACAGATAATGAAATAATCGGCGAAGAAAAGGAGACAAAGTGATGAAATAATATCACCAAATCTGTGTCTTCGCCTCTTATTTTTAATTAATATAACTGATAATGATATTTGAGGAAGATAGTTATATTTAACTAAACACTTTAATATAAACGACAAGTGTCCACTTACAGCTTAGTTATCTGTTCAGAAGTGAATCAGAGAATCCTTTATTAGTTACATAATATAAAGCGGCCTCCGTAGTCTAGAGGTAACGTTCCCACCTCATGATTCGTGGTACGCGGGTTCAAAAACCCGGCAGAGGTCGTGGAATTTTTAAGGGCGGAAAAATTCAGGGAACAAGTCCTCCGGGAGGGACTTTAAGCCGTGGGTCCCGTGTCGTAGCTTTACGGCACGTAAAAGAACCTCATATCTTCAAAGGAGGTCACTGAGCCAAATTCAGGACATTTCTCGCCCAACAGTAGTCTCTAATGCCTCCGATAGATGGGGAAAGCATTACAGATACCGCCAAGCCAGTAGAGGCGAACTCGCTGGCTCGGTCGGGACTGATGGTAAGCACCAATATCGGTAGGGTATAGAGACTGGTAGAATATCATAGAGGGAAGCACAATGGACCAATACTGGTCTAAGTGCATGGGGAAACCCACCCTCTCTAATAACTAACTAACTACATAATATAACAAATTAACACATTACGAAAATTTCCATCCAAAAGAGTTAATTATATCTAGAGGAAAAAATATGTAAATTGTTTCTAAAATATCTTTGATGGCACGTCATCAGCTAGTGACGTAAGTAGTTACGTCGTCAGTTGAAAATAAAATAACCAGACTGTGTTTACAATACAACGGGAAACAAAATCGCCATGCTGTAGATACCGTTGAACACGTAGGACTATTTTCTGTAAGTTATGACGTATATATTCAAATTGTTTTAGGTAGATAATAAGAAAAAATTGTATTAGATAACAAAATATTTGAACAAGCCATAATTTTAATTATTTAACCAGCAATGTAAGCTAAGAGACAAACAATGCTAGTATAAAATTAAATATATTTAAGCAGAATGTTATATTTTAGCGTCCTGTTGCACTGATTTTCATCCATGATATGTATACAGTGGCCGTCTTGTAGTGCACTCAATTTCACCTGTCACTTCACAACATGTTTCGGCAACATAGTGCCATCATCAGGTGTCCCAATTACGTCAATCTATTGCATTGCTTGCCCTCATATGTTTTAACAACACCATTTAAAAAGTATTTTAAAAGTATTTAAAAAGTGCGTATTTGTCAACTATGATAAATTTACACTCGCTAAAACTTGTTAAGATAATTCATCTTATTTGTCTTAATTAAAACTTGCACGTGGTTCGTTCACTACGGGGTCGTTTTTCTTGTTTTCTGTGTAAACCGCGTCTTGTGATGTGTGTTCCCTTCTTAGCTGCGAGTGTTGTGACAGGTGAAATTGAGTGCACTACAAGACGGCCACTGTATACATATCATGGATATTTAATCAGGTTTGTGAAAATAAAAAACATATTAAATTCCGAAAATAAACCTTAAGAAAATTCTCTGTCATTATTAGGCCTGCATAAGCTGTTATGTGAATCACTAAGTAGGAAGTATTTTACCTCAGAAAGAATCAGAATAATGGAGTGTACCGATAGAAACGGTGTCGATCCAGCCCATTGAAATTAGCATGTAATTGCACAAAGGGGACCCTGTCACATGACCCTGTGAAGGACACTCACTCTTGCTCAAACATTTCTGTGAGCTCGTGGTAAAACTGTGCAGTTCTGGGGGTCACTATTTCATTGTCATGCAGAATTTGTCTTTGGAACTGAGACACCTCAGTGAAGTGACTAGCTACTGGTTGGTTAACCGGAGTTTGGTTCTCATCAGGGACAGAAATCATTTGCAAACATATCAGGGTCGGCCCTGGAACCAACCCGTTCCGCTATCAATTGGGTATCGTGTGTCCGAACTTATATGAGTGTTCTTCATCATTATTAGAATTCACTGATTATATTTTCAACGTGACATGGGAATCAGAATTGCTACAGCAGCCATCTTGTTGAACTAATTTTTCATTTGTTCGGGGCAAATCAACTGAAGAGTGAAAATAATCATTCATTTCCAGCTAGCGATGAAGTTAGTCTGTGGAGCTTTACCTCCATTTCCTTACACTCTTTCATGGCATAGTGAATAGTCACAGAGTCCCAGAGATATGAGGATGTATTCATATCTCTTGCAACAGCGCCATGACGCGGGGAGAAATCAGAGATGTACTCAGAATTAATCAGTGCCTGAGAGATACTGATCCTGTAAATCAATTCGCGCCGATAGAACAAATTTGTTCTCTCATATTGACGCAATCTGAAGTGGTTCCCTTATCACTGCGGTAGGATGTGATCTTGTGTTAGTGACGGAGGGGACGGCCCCCAGATATCGTTAGTACCTGGGACTATACTGCAACAAAAATTGCGGGCAGCTGAATAAAAGTTGTCCTCCATCGTGAGGATTGCACACAGGGCTAACAAACTCTGCACCGGAAATAAACCGGAATATTACTAAATGCACGGGACTTCTGGCTTCGACCAGTGACGGGATCTTGTGAACAAGGATATTTTTCATTTTAATTTTCGGGAAATGACTGAGGAAAGCCGTGAAAGACTCCCCCATTCCAGGTTTTAATTCTACATGACCGAGGCTTAAACACGGATCCTCCAGAGTTGGAAACAGAACTCGATATTATTTGTCTTGTGTTAATGACATTCTCTCTGGCCAAGAGCCATGCCTACGAAAATGTGGCACAGTTAAGATATTTGGGAAGGACAACAGATCGAAACCTGATTCAGGAGGAAATTAAGAGGCGATTGAACTCGGGTAATTCATTCCATTCAGTCCAGAACCTTTTGTCTTCTCGTCTGCTTTCAAAAAACATAAAAATTAGAATATATAAAACTATAATTTTGCCAGTAGTTCTGTATAGGTGTGAAACTTGGTATCTTACATTAAGGGAGGAACATAGACTGAGAGTGTTTGAGAACAGGGTGTTGAGGAAAATATTTGGACCGAAGAGAGACGAAGTGACAGGAGGTTTGAGAAAACTGCATAATGAGGAGCTTCATAACTTTTACTCTTCTCCAAGTATAATTAGAATGATCAAGTCAAGGAGGATGAGGTGGGTAGGGCATGTAGCATGAATGTGGGAGACGAATGCATATAGGATGTTGGTGGGAAAGCCAGAAGGAAAGAGACCACTGGGAAGACCAAGGCGTGGGTGGGTGAACAATATTAGAATGGATCTTAGAGAGATAGAATGGGATGGTATGGACTGGATCTATCTGATTCAGGAGAGGGACAAGTGGAGGGCTTTTGTGAACAAGGCAATGAATTTTCGGGTACCATAAAATGTGGGAAGTTCTTGAGTAGCTGCACAATTGACGATGTCTGAAGATTGGCTCAGCTCCATGAGTGAATGAAGAGCCATGTCAATTAATTTAAAAATGACAGACGTTAAGTCAAGTCGCCGTGAAGGTTGGAGACCTCTCACAAATTCTTGTACATTTCACTAAGCCAAGGTTTTAATGTTGATTATTTCAGATCCGTTACTGGCAAGGCTAAGAGTTGCGGACTGGGAACTGATTCACGTCTCGACTTATAGCAGTAATTTACTTCCTTGATCTACGTGTATTTCAGTAGAATACACAACTTAAGACCAATGCTATATTTCAGCATACTCTTGCACTAGTTAATCATGTGATTCGTAGGGCAGTTTTAGAGATGTAAGTTCTTGTCGTGCTCATAGACTGGTGGTGTGCTGCGTTGTCGTGTATTGCAATTGTCTTTTCTGCAATATGTTTCGACCTAGAAAGGTCTTGTTCGGTGTCAGTTTTTTTCATTATTAGTTATAAAATGTGATTTTGGTGGGAAAGTCAGTAGTAAAGACCCCACTAAGAAGACCACAGCATAGGTAGGTGGATAATACTAAGATGGATCTTAGTGAGAGAGGTTGGGGTGTTATGAACTGGATCGATCTGGCACAGGATAGGAACCAGTGGAGGGCTCTTGTGAGCACGATACTGAACCTTTTGGTTCTATAAAAAATTTAGGAAATTCTTGAGTGGCTGTAAAACTGCCGGCTTCTTAAAAAGGGTGCATGGAATTAGTTCTAAAACTTTGTTAAAATTAACGTCTAAGTCGTTGCTGCATTTGTTTATATTAATTAATTATTTACTTTTTAATTGATATTTTAATCGATATATTTGTTTCTAGTATATCGTTGTTCCTTGAAACGTAGCGTGTATTTTGTTAGCAAGTTCGGCGTTTGTTTCTGTCGTAACGGAATGCTTGTGTTT